GAACAGGGCGGCGGAAAGTGGGATTTTGGGGAAGTGAAGAAAATGATAGATCGAATCGGGAGAAGGGTTTCGAAGGCTTCAAAGAGGAAGGGAAAGAGGAGGATTTGGAGATGGAGGCGCAGGGGGAGGTAGCCGCCATTGATGCCATGGTGCAGGAGGCGAGGAGGAAGCAGCAGCAGCACCGAAATGGTATTGAAACTAGTGGCTCCTAATGATCTGCAGAATTTATATTTAACCACCTCTTATTACTGCTGCATATCCCTAGATTCCTAAAAGGTAAAATTACCCCTCCATCCTCCATTTACTCTTTCTTGGGTAATATTTACTGTAAATTACTGTGATAAATTTTGCATTTTCCACTCTTATACGTAGTGTAACTGACTGAGTAAAAACTCTTTTTTAATTTAAATAAATGGGTCAAAATTTAATTTCAAATTCCTACGTTATTGGAAATTTATGACTAGTTCTTGACATACTTGGGCGAGAAAATTTCCATAAATGTTCTTTCTTTTTCTTTTGCTACGAGAGCATCTTATTACTAAGTTTAGCATTTTGGTGTTGGATTCAATATTTCTTTTATTTTGAATACAACAATACGTAGGATAAATATTCAACTTCACAAATTTTTAGTCGAACATAAATGTCTTAATTGATTGAGCTAAATTGATATTGAACTCAAAATTTCTATAGTTAAATTTATGTATTCTTAAGTATATTTTGAATTTAAGATGAATAATAGTTGGTATTCTAACTTAATTTTAAGGATGATTGTAATTGAGTTATTTATGTTCGAATTCATCAAAATTGATTCTGTATAAATATGAAGATAGAAATGAGTTTTTAACTCAAAGATACCAATGTCTATGACAAATAATAATAATAATAATAATAATAATTTCGCTAAACTCAAACTGTTCTGTACTTTTGGTTTCTTGCATAGATTTTTTTTTTTCTTCTTCTTCTGAAATGGTAGAAGTTGAAAGTAAAAACCCACAAATGCCACTGGGGCTATATGCACTAAAAGAAAACTTTTTTCTCAGCTCTACTCAAAGGAAACACATGCAACCATAACAAAAGAGCGGAATGAATGACACTGGAAGAGTAATGAGAAAATTCATACAAATGTGAATGACACTTCTTTACTTCAAATTGAGCTTTTCTTTTCTTTTCTCATCTTATCTTATCTTTTTTAATTTTTTTATTATTATATATATATATATATATATTGTAATTAAAGGGTAACTGTAAGTTGATCTCTGACTTTTTAAAAAGATGTTGAGTTATTAATTAATTAAAAATTATTATTATAGAAAAAATTGAAATTATTGTTAACTATTATCTAACTTCTTGCGATAAAGTGGGATGAATAATGCACATTTATTATTTTCAATGACTAAATTAATTAAATGAGATGTTTCACTCATGACATTTATATTCGTTTCAGAACATTTCTATTGATGAAATGTGATCTTTTACAATTAATTGCAATTAACTACTTGATTAATTGAACTTATAACTAAACTTCTATGACGAGAACGGATCAAAATAACATGAAGTTAATTATTAAGGCTAAATAACAAAAATAAGGTTAAAAAGGGAAATTTGAGTAACGGACGTAAACTGACTTTTCGTCAACCAAAAAAAAAACGGATGTAAACTGACCATGTCCACGGTTGATAATTATTTGATTTAATATCAATAATACTACACAATTACAAATTAATA